TACAAGGCAGCAATGTTATATAGACAATCTGGACAGACACAAAGCAAGATGACAAATGACTCAGGGACTAAATGCAAGCAGAGTTTTGATAATTTACCTTCATCTGACACTCAATTGTCTTCTTCGGTTTCAGTGATCGGAAGTGAGCATCTGATCATCTCGGCACTGAATTCAGAATCTGTTAACTCCAGCATGGACAATTCAAAGCTCTCTTGCACTTTTGCAGAAAAAGATGATAATCCACCAACCATCCCTCCAAAAACTGGCCATCAGGTTAAAAATCAAAAGCCAGTTATTCCACCAAAGCCATTGCACATCACCACCAGCTCCGAACACATTGCAGAAAAATCTAAAATTTGTCCAAGCTCACCTGATTGTCTAATTAATAAGCAGACTCCAACAATTCCACCCAAAGTGATTGCCAGCAAGAAAACGTTTTCGCATAAAAAAGAAACCACAGAAACTTCAAACAAAGTTAATGACAGGCAATGCAACATTCATGAACCAGTTCAAAGGACAAACTTCACAGACCCTGTGGGTTTTCAGAAGATGCAGTACACTGAGCAATGGGTTCAAAATTCCCACATGCAACATACGGACACTCCATCAGTCAGCGAAACTCATGATGAAGGTTCCTTTGCTTCTAATAGAATAGGAATGGAGAAAAATGTGATTCAGAGGATAAATGCTGCAGAAGAGATCAGGATGTGTATGCAGAGTTACTCAAAGGACAATAATGAACTAAACAATGGGTTTAAGATTGCACTTCAGAATTTTGGGGAAAAGAAAACAACTATGGACACAACCCCAACTTTCTCAAAGAAAATTAAAGTTGTGCAAAACAAAACCATACAGGAACAGGCTAAAACTTTCAAAGAGAACACAAATAAAGTTGAGTTACACTTCGCCTGCAAAGACACCCCTTCAACACCTGAAAAACATGAAGTTCCTTCAAAGTACGATCAAACCATTAAAGAGCACAATGATTTTGAGAACAAAGTTGTTTTGAGAGAAAAGAAAGCAAGGAGAGAGACAGAAGATGAGCGCCACCAGAGGCTCTCCGTCCACAAAGACGAGATCATGAGGGGCAACGTAAAAGCAGCCATGGAGATATTTGAAAACCTTATGAGACGAGAAGAGCTTAAGATCATTTTGTCAAAAGTTCAAGAAATAGAGGGGGAGACCTGTGAGGTGGATGTTAAATCTCTGAAGACTTTGTTTGAGAATGTGCCTGCTTGGATTACTAATCCAATAAAAAATATGAAATGCAGACATTTTCCAAGAGCTGGCACCGAGACGGAAGGCTTAAGAGATGATGTAGAGAGCATATCCTCCGTTGAGGCTGCATTTGAGGACCTAGAGAAAGCAAGCATGGACATCATCAATTTAAAGGAACAGACATTAGCTAAACTCTTGGACATAGAGGAGGCAATAAAAAAAGCTCTGTACTCTGTCTCAAATTTAAAGTCAGAGGCAGACATTGCAGGGTTGTCAGGTCTGTTTAGTGAATCCTTAAATGTTGATAATGTCTCTCCAAGTACTAAAAACATTAGGAAAATTAGCATTGTGTCCAGCAAAGCAAAACCTGTGCAACCTAAACAGGCACAGAGCAGTGATAACAGGGGTCTGCCCAAAGAAGCACCCCATGTACATCAAGTTCAAACTGGAAAAACATGGTCAAACATCCCCTCCTCTCCTTCATTTATTTCCATTCATTCTGCTGCAAGAAAACCTGTGGAGTCACCCACATCACCACAGCCTCTCTTAGACAAACCAAAAGCAAATGACCAACCTAATTCAGTTAGCTCCATCACACAGTCCTCCCCTGAGAAAATCTCGGTCAGCCACGTTTGTAGCCCTCCAAGTCCTAGAAGGAAAGTCAGTGTTCTTGAAGTACAGCGAGTTCCTGAGGTTGCAAGTGGAATCATTGGTACTAAAACTGTCAGTGAGAAATATGAAGAGATAGACTGCTTTGGGAATACTTACTTTTCTTCAAAAAGATCTACATTTGTAACCAGGCAGTCAGAGACAGAATTATCTTCCTCATATGATGTAGTTACCAATCCAGGGAGGTATGAAGAAATGACTTCACCTGTTTTGCAAAGGTCTGGCCAGACCTTCTCCTCAAATTCTCTGTGTAAAAGCAAAGACAGAAAAGTGTTTGTAACTTTCGGCCATCCCAACACAGAAAAACATTAACCAAGCTGCCCATTCTTTTTGTAACAATATTTTTGATGTCACTTTTATTTCCATATTTCTATTTAAAATACATATATATTAGATTTATTGATCCTTTTTATGTGTGTAAAATAAACGGGTTTATTGTGGTGCTTTGTTTAAGAGAAAGTTTTTTGTACTGTTGCAATTAAGTGTTAATGTTAAATATTTATGTTTGTTTCAAAAACTGTATATTATATCAAATAAAATACTTACAAAGCAGTATTTGTTATTATTATTTTCTTAACAGTTAGACAGTTAAACTCTCAGTCTATCGTATCTTTAAAATGGCATTATATAACAATTCTGACTTTTTTTCGTAGGAAGATCTTCATAATGTGTATTTCATACATAACAACTCATATTGCATGTATGTCTATATTGTTGTCATAGTTCCTGTCACCTGCTAAAGAGATGTGCTCTGCATGCCTGATGCCAGTTTACCCAATGGAGAAAATGGTGGCAGATAAACTAATTCTACATAATAACTGTTTCTGCTGCAAACACTGTAATAAAAAGCTAAGGTGAGAGAAATTTAGAAATCAGTTTCCAAGACATGGATACAAAATAATCATTAGTGTGAAACTGGAACCTGTGATTCATAATGAGAAATACATGTGCTATTAAAATATCTAATAAAATACAATCTATTTGATATAATTTATATTGGATATTTAATTGATTTTATCCAATCACAAATCAAAAATGATAAGACTTGATTCCCTTGGATTATTTTATTTCACAGTATATACTTTAACAATGAATCTTCATGGGTGTACTATTATTTATTACAGCATTCACAATTACTCTGCTCTTTATGGAGAGTTCTACTGCACATACCATTACCAACAGTTGTTTAAGAAAAAGGGCAACTATGATGAGGGTTTTGGCCATAGACAACACAAAGACCGCTGGCTTGCTAAAACAGAGAAACCTAAACCTTCTAACAAGTTCAGCTCAGCACGTAACACAGAGCCTACATGTGTTGATGGTCCTCTGGGATCATTTACAGGAGCTTCATCTCCACAGAAAAGACACAGAGATGCTCAATTCAAAAGTCCTGACATCAAGAACAAGCTTACAGTTAGCTGGCCACCGGAAAACAAGTGGACCAGACAACACCCAGTTTCACAAAGTACTTCCTTAGCCTCAAGGAGGACAACAGACTGGTCAACTGTAGACCATTCTTCTGCCAGAAGCTCCAGAAATGCTCTTGAAAAGAAAAGGTTTAATTCTGGGTTGGATGAAATGAACAAATCAGTTCAGCTGTCACCTCGGGTTTATGAGAAGACAAACACATACTTATCTCCCTACACAATTAAAGGTGAGGTTAAAACACCACATTCAGAGCCTGTTTATACACCTCATCCAGGAGGTTCAAAAACATTACAGAAGACTGCAGATACATCTGCCCAATCTGGAACCTCAAAAGGAGGGACAGTGACAAGTAAAGACTTGAATTCTGTTACCTCAAGACCAGATTCTGTGAGAGAACCCAGTTTGGCTGAAGATTTGAGAGTGCATAGCCCAACGAAAATAAAAAAGTCTGTCCGGTTTGCTTCGAATTTAAATACAGATGGGGAAAATAACACAGAGTTCAGCAATGAGGAAGTTGAAAGCTCCACTGAGGCATTTGTTGAACCTGCAGTTGTCAATGGTGATGTTATGACAGCAAAGAGAGATATGACAACTTTAAAATCAGGAATAGAAATAGAGGAATCACCCGAGGAATGTTTAATTGAGACAATGCACAACCTATATGGCAGTGATTCTGTCAAACATCCCAAAGCTTCGGGCGGACAAATGCAGGATCCTTTTCTTCAGACTACAGTAATAGAAGAAAGCATCTCATCTGTGCAAAGAAATTTAGATGATGCAACAAAGGCAGATGAGGCAATTATAACCAAGATGAAAACAATTCCAAATCTCAAAGAACTGCAGGTAAATGACATTACTTCATGTGGTACAGAAACATTCACACCGAATAGTGAATCGTGTGATTTGGAGCATGTTGCAGAGATAATTAATGAGGATGTTACTGAGACTAAGGCCAATGTTACAACCTCCAAAAAGCAAGAACCCACAGACATAATTAAAGATGAATCCAAAGACCTTGATATGTTGAATTTTCCTCCAAAATCTGAAGATAAAAGCAACACAAAGGTTGGTGACAAAAAGGCCACGGATAAAGGGAATAAAGGGTCTTGGTCTAAAGGTAAAAGCCCTCTTTCCAAACTCTTCACATCTGGCCCAAATAAGAAAGAGAGCAAAAGTGAGCCAAAAACAGAAAGCAAAAGACCCGATATCAAACCTAGAAATTTACTGAGCAGACTCTTTTCGGCTACTGAAACAGAGTCAGAAATAGAGAAAAAATCAGAAATCAAAACAGAAACTACATGTGAGGAGTCCGAGAAAATCGTAGGGACAGAAGATGGAGTAAATAATGCATTGGTTCAGGATACTTTTTCTGTATCTCTTCCTCTGACAGAGACCACCTCTCAAAATAAACCTCAAGAGACCATGAAACCAACACAAAACTCACTAAGTGATGCTCCAGAAGAATTTAATCCAACCGAGAGCTCTCAAAATCCCATCTTATTGTCTAATAATGGCTTCGCTGATGAGACGGTGCCATCAATAGACCTTGATCAAACTGAACAACTCAAGCCTGCTTCTGGTGGTTTAGGGGAGATTGAAAACAATGAGGCTCTTATGTCCTCACAAGAACACATTCATGTAGATCTCACCTCTCAAGACTTTTTAAACCCATCAGGTCTTGAGGAGAGCCTCAACTCCTTTTTGCCTCAGAATGAAGACACATCTGGTTTTCTTGATACATCTGATGCATTCACATCTCAAGTTATGAGCACTAGCACAGATGACATGGCTTTTTCAGATTCAAATACACTTGATTATACAAACAGTGGCACATTGACGGACATTGAGAATTTTGAAACACCATCAATTGATATAGGGAGCTCTTTTATTGAAGGACAGCCATTTGGAGAAAAAATACAAGGAGAAAGAGGAGATTCAATTCAAAAACCTTCAGTGAATTTGAATGAAGATACTCTAGATATTTTTGGTTCATCGGATTCAAACATTGAGGTAAACTCATATGGAAACACCCTGACTGAAATCCACAAAAATGAAGCCAGTGTTTCCTCAGGAATGACTGATGATCCCTCTGGTAAGGACAATTTATCAGTACAATCAATGGATATCTTTGGAGGAGACAATATGCTCACTGTCTCTGATCAAATGTCCACGAATAATTTCTTTGAAATTATGACAAACAGCAAGTCTCAAAGTCAAAACCCTTTTGAGGGAATTACAGATGGTCAATTGGGACCAAATGGAGTTTTTGACTTGATAAGTTCTGAAGATGACCCATCAACACAGAAAAGGTCTGAACTTGGACAGGGAATTCTAATTCAAAGTGAGGTTAATGTTTTCGAAAGTAAAGGCAATCCATCAACCTCTAATGTACTTGATCAAAACCTTTCCGGCCAAGAGCTAATTGAGTCATCTCAAACAGAGGCTTTTGATTTCTTCAGCTCTGAGCAAGATCCACCCAGAGCAGCATTCAGTCAAATAAGTGCCGATCCATTCCCAGATGACATCTTTGCAAGTGCTATTAACGGCCCAAGCACAAATACATTCAGTGTGGAGACAATGCAAAGAACTGCAAACCCATTTGACGATTTCACCGGTTTAGAGAGTGACGGTGAGGGTGCAGAGACACAAGCAAGCAACTTATTTCCAGATGACATATTCTCAACTATTCCTGCCATTTCTTTAGAACCAGCACAGGACACTTCCACCCTGATAGATTCAACAAACACTGATACAAATGGTGTGCAGCCACAAAAGCTCGAAAATGATTGGATGTCTGACCTTTTGGGGTAGTATCGTTGCCACAGTTCAGAGAAAATATAAAAATATTTCAATTAAATAAGCAGTTATATTAATTTGCCTTTGCTGTACTATTCTGTATAATTCACAAACTTTATTTCTAACATTTGATTGATTGACTGACTGATTGATTGATTGATTAATCAATGTGTATTTAAGTTAAAGTATTCATGTATAATGTGGTGTAACTTTTTTATTTCTAAATAATTAATCAATGTATATTAAGTTAACATGTAATGTGGGGTTACTTTAAAAGTTTTTAGATACACAAAATGTTGAAGTATTTGACAATTGCTGCATTGTGATTCTACAAAAGTTGTTCAGTTAAATCAGTCTCAGATTACTTTTATTATATCAAGCAACCTGTTTTAATGACTACAGTTATCTGACAGGGGAAAAAGAAATTGATTTATTAGGCAAAGTTCACTTCAATAATCCCTGTAGTCATCATATAATCCATATATATTTGTGTACAAAAAGTTATTGTTGATCATGAAACAATGTAATGATAACTGTGTTCTTCAAAGACTAACTGGTCTTAATAAATAATAAAACAACAATTCACATGAGGTTTATTGCATATTGTTATGTTACAGTACATACAGTGCTAACAGAACACTAAATCTACAAATCTTTTCATAATGCTGAATGGCAAATAAACTGCAGAAGTTGTAATAAAAATCTAACTGTTATTTCTACATATCATTACACTGTAAACGGAACAAAAGAAATTCCACCATCTTGCAAGAAGTTAAGAGGTTATAACTTGGTTGCTTGGATGTCTTCACAATCCCTAGTTGCAGGATTAGATAATTTTGGTCTCCTTTGGGGAAATAGAGGTGAAATAGTGTTATTTTCCCTTGGCAAAAACATAACAAAAACCTTAAATGTATTTTAAAACAATATGTAACGAGACTTAATGTGTAACTTGAATATTAAAGAGTAAATAAACAGATTTTAAGACATGTGAGAATTGCAAAAGCAGTTTAATCCGCAGAACTTCCCTATATAAATCTATGTATACTAGTTGCATGAAAACTTCAATCTACATGTACCTCTTGCCCTCTGCCTCCTCTGTGGAATCAGGCAGCTCGGTTCTTCTGGTCTCGGGCAGCAGGAAGGCCATTATCCCACTTGCTAGTGCCAGGCTGCCAATCACCACAGTAGGGATAGTGAAGTGGTAGATCTCCAGCAGGTTCACCACAGGAGACAACATACTTGCGGCTCGTGCAGCTGTGGAGCCCAGCCCCGTGGCCGTCTGACTGGAAATCAACAAGCGGATTATAATAGATCTGCATTAAAACAACACTCATTTATACCTGTAGAAAATGACACAGGCTCATGCCTACCGAATGGCGGTGGGGAACAGTTCTTGAAAATAAATGTTGCAAATACTGCCTGCTCCGTTCATGAGAAATCTTCCACATGTGGCAAGAGTAGCGATGGCGACGTAATTACCTTAAGAGAATCACACGGTTAAGTGCTGATTCGTTGTATGCTATAGAGTGTTACATATGGAAAACATTTTACTTTGTGGAACTGCAAGAGTCAGGAGACACAGAACCCCTCCCACTATAAGAGCACCCATTAGAGACACCTTCCTTCCAGCTGCTTCCAATGACCATATGCAGAAGAAGTGGACAGGAATCTCAGAGAGGCCGAATATGAGTTGATTGAGAAAAATATCAAGGCCGAACTTCCCCACATTCAGAGAGAGGCTGTAGTACGCTAGATTTACAGCACACCTGAGTATCAACAGCAGAGTACAATTCATGTTTAAAGTCCCCGTGAACCGGAAGTTGCAAACGACTTTTCTCCAGTGTTGTGACGTATTTCCGAGAGAAACGGAATACTAAATGAGGCAAAATGGTGGGCGTGGCTTTTTTCCCAACTAGCACCTGATTGGATCTAGAAAAGTAGGTGTTTTCATTCAGCCTGTCTACTGTCAGTTGGAGGGGCGTGATTACGGATGTTAAGAAGATGCCCAAACCGTGAAACCTACGTCATCAGGCAAGGTCCTCCAACGCAGAGGGGAGGGGAAATTTCAGATTTTAATTAAAGATTACGAAGCCAAAAATATTTTTTGTGTGGATTGACTTGCATGGATGAATTGTTCACCACAAAACGATCAATTTAGGCAAACAAAGTAAGTATGGTCAATTTTGAATTCATGGGGACTTTAAATATTAGTTCAAGAAAACACATTTCAAGCAAAAAAAAAGTCAGAATATTAACAATTCCATGAGAATCGACTCACCAAGCGAAGGTAATGGTTAAGAAATATTTCCTGAGCACACGGGAAGCAAAAAGCATTTTTATACCTCCTTTTTCAACAGGCTTTTCTTTTAGGACCTAATACATCAAATAACAAAAATATGTTATCGATATTGTGTTATTTAGGAGAGATGGCTCTGTACTTTGTCTTGACATGTTAATTTGTAAAATATATCTTAACCTTCTCCAGTAATGAGTCAGGAACTGAACGTTTGTTGATCGCTGCTGCCTTCTGAATGAGTTCTTTCGCATCGGTAGTTTTTCCGCGGCCAAGAAGCCATCTGGCAGACTCTGGAATAAACCTATATTGGTGTGCACATCTAATTTTTTCATTCGCTCACAAATTCATCCAAATCTAAAGAAACATATACATAAACATATATACCATATGTAGACAACTACAAATCCAAGTGGGCCAGCCATTATAAATTGATCCATCCTCCAGTCCCTGACAAAATACACAACGGCAAGAAACATGACCTGCCCCAAAGCGGCCAGGACTTGACTCAGGCATGCTGCATAGGATCTCTGAGCGACTCCAATCCACTCGGTGGCTACAGTGAGGATGAAAACATCGTGATAAACACATAAGCAATTAGGTAAACACGGCAATTCTTTGTTACAGTCAAATTGCCAATATAGTCTTACACAAGACCCATCAACTGTTTTGTTGTTGACACAAAGTTTAAAAATGTTCTGTTTCTTCTAAAGAGCCATCTGATGTGTTACATTAATTATTCAGTCCGCTGATAGCTAACATGATGTAAAGGTTGAAAACATCAATATTGTCTCATACCGAGGATAATGCTGTTGATCCGAAATCCTCCGAGGGCAACACCAACAATGAACTGGGATGTGAGGTACACATAAAAGTTTGGAGAGAGACCAGTCACGACTGTGAAGATAAGCATGAGCACCATAGGTATCTGTGTAGCTCGTTTGCGACCAAACCTTGAGTTCAAAAAAGAAAGAGGGGGAAAAAAGCCACACACACAAAAAATAAATCACTGAAAATGAACGATGACATCATGCATTAATGGAAATGTTAGCTGAAGGCTAAATATGTTATGCCACTTCATTTAGCATGTCCTTTAGATGGCGTAGCTTCAGAAATGTTTGCATCATATGATTTAATATATAAAAAAATATATACATTACATTTTTATTGTATAAAATGTTTATTTGCACATTACATAATATTTACACTTTTCTTTTTACACATTTTAGTATAATTAAGAAGACCTCATAATCCTTAATTTAACATAAAACATTAGACATTATATATATATATATATATATATATATACAGGTATTTATTTTGCAAAATTACAAGCAACTAACCTTAAACAGAATGCTATTTTAACCCTAACACTAAGTACACATTGTTAATTAAAATTACTCAGTACTTATTTGTGTAATTAGTCCTACACTTTAACAAGGACACCTTCAAATTAAGTGTATTGATTCTGTATTCAATCTAAAGAGTTTGTCCAAATTTAATAACATTATTAACTGTACGTTTTTAACACTTACGATTCTGAAAAAGGCCCAAAAAGTACAGCTCCAACTAGTACTCCAGCAAAGAATATGGTCTGTGCTCCCCGAAAGATATTTGTATTTTCACAAACAAGATCGAACTGCAAAACACCACAAAAATATCAGGCTTTCTCCATGTAAACAGCATATTGTTTTCTAAATCAATCATTTAAAAACATAGTAGTTAAATTACATTGTGGTGTGACCACAGTGAGCACATGAAGTTCATAACTTCCATGTTTTCAAATATACGGGTGACAAAATATTACAAAATAATATACCCATAATATTAAGTATCTATTTATATTTTTTATTGATGACTCTATGTTTTTAATTTGTGTGTTATAATTGTTGGAGCTTGTACTGCAAGACAAATTTCCGTGCACACGGACAATACAAGTGCTATCTATCTATCTATCTATCTATCTATCTATCTATCTATCTATCTATCTATCAAACCCCAAGTTACTTACATCAGTAACAATGGTTGCATCATAAATAGTATCATTGTGCACCCATCCATCAGTGCAAGTGGTGGTTTCGTTTAGGCCATATTCCCGTATAGCAGACAGATCCCAATCCATAGGCACATACATCTGACAGGGATCGAAAGAGCCATCCGGGAGCCTAGGCAGGGTCAAGTTCTGCTGCTCTTCCTTCGTCAGATTGGGACCCACCTGAAGGATCCAGTCAGCGTTGCAATGGTGGTTCGTGTCTGCATGGTTGAAGACAAGGCTGGATAACTGAAAAGGCAAAATGAGGTTTGGAAAGCACAGAGCAAACAAGAGCAGCTTTTGGAAAAGCCCAAAGTCTCCTATAGATTCTAAAATCTCCCCAAAATCAGCCATGATGGTCCAGAAGAGGAACAACCAAAGAAAGCTTGAGTAACAAGTTATAGTAGAAAAAGTTAATTAATGTTTAACTGCATAATCATGTGAGTGAATATATCACAGAAAGTCGTATATAGAGAGCAATGGTCATATTATTGATGTGAAAGTGTAATGGGTCAACATTCAAAGATGTTTTGACACTGCTGATGCGACAAACATATGGACAGATTGTCCGACATGTATGTATATATATATATATATATATATATACACACACACACACACACAGACAAACTTACATATAAATAGACTATATTCAGTTGATCAAGAATCGCTTTAGAATCAGATTGATTCCCGGAATATTCTCAACCTGTGCAGTGCACATACATAGACAGATAGGTAAGACAGATGGATATATAGTAAGACAGTGAAACACACCAAGTTAACATATTTGTGTCAAATCTTTTAAAGTTTTCAAAACAGACCGAAGGCAACTTTAGTATTTTGGTTCTAAAGTAAAAACTAAAAAAAATATTTGTGCTGACAGTATCTGTAATGTGTAACTCAACATTATAACAAGCAATAAACTGGATAAGTGCCACAAAGGGTTGTTATGGATCATGAAGTACTTTAATGTTATTATGCAATTCATATTTATAGCATTTAGACATGTCTGCAGGGGGGGGGGGGGGGATCATTCTTTATTATTAAAAATAATTGGGTACACATGCACAGAAAATCCCAAAAGGTGAAATACTATAATAGTAATAGTAACTATAAGACAGTAATACCTCCATTGCTTTTGTGTTGTGACAGTTCATTCCTTACAGTTCAATGAGAAAAACAAATCGAAAAGACACACTTAAATAGTCCACTAAAATGTAGGCAATCCCTCTTTGAAAGTCCTACATACATGTGTTTGGTGTGAAAATACAGCATCCCTCCAGACTGAGCAGAATGATGGAATGATATTAGACAACTTAGCTCAGCTCAACACAGAAACACCACCACAGAGAAAAGATATGAGCATGGAGAGATCAACAAGATCTGATGCGTCAATCTCAAGACAAATCAGCTTATTTCATTATCTTTAAGAATTCATACAAATGAGAAACAAGAATATGCTTTCAATTTTCAAATTACTTCCAATGCATTCCAGGAAAAAGGCCAACCACTTGTGCACACATGAAAATAAATACTACTGATGTCAGATCACTATCACCGAAGTGAGAAAGAAAATGAGACGAGGACGCGTCTTACAAAGAAAAATGGTTGAGGCTTTAGAGAATCATGAAAGGGCAGCATTTTTGACGGTCAAAGAAATTAAATCATTGCGTTCAGGCTTTGACTTGAGTCTACTTAAGGAATCTGAGATGGCTTAAAAAAAAAAAAAAAAAAAAAATGATTAAGGTGGCATGCCATTGTAATGCGTTGTTAACCATTTAAAACATACAAACACACAAAACTCACACCACAAGCATTCTTTTTAATAATCCCACCAACCTGTCCGACAATAACAACCAAACAAAGACCGCAAGGCAGAAACCGAAATGCAGAAAAACAAAAATAGCCCCCGACTTGACAATTTTTTTTAAACTACTCTCAAGTCATGCTAATGTCATCTTTTAGAGGACATTTTCAGAAATGAAATCCTTTGAGGGAAGTGTCTTAGGACTGCAAACACAGAGAAGCCAACAAGACATAAGACAAACCACCGCATCGAGTCCATAGAAAGGCCAACTGTGAACGGTATGTATACCGTTTATATTATATATAAACAACACCAATTTGATTATTTACATGTTTTTTTATCAAGTACTTAAGATGCCCCACCCACATTCATTGTTGTATTCACACTAAATACTTAAAAATAATAATAGATCAACAGTCATTTGCACATACACGCATGTAAGAAAGTGACAGCAAATGAATCACTGACCATGTCTAAAATTAATCGGTTTTGAAACCATCTTAAAATGAACTGTTTGTTGGAAGCCAAGGAGAGAAATAAACTGGAAAAATTTGAAAATAAAATGGGGTGAAATGTAGAACCTCAGTAAAAATAACAATTATAATAATAAACCTAGTAAAAGTTCAGCAAAAAGGTATAAAAAAAAAATCTGTTTTTAAAAGCGAATAAAATACCAGTTGCATGTGAACACATTTTCTGCCTATATATACACATGGAATCAGACATCAGTCTATAGCTGAGACAAATGATATAAGCAAGTGTAATGGACTTAAATATTTACAGACACACAAATACAGGCCCACAAATTATATTGCCAATATCACTTAGACTGCATTAAAGTCACTTTTCTTTAGTTTGTTGCTGGTCAGTCCCAGGCTTGACTGGTCTTCACTTCATCAACAGTGCTTGCAAGGCCAGCAATGTATTGAAAGTCATTTTTCTATACACATTACTGCAATTCAGTTTCATGTAGACTCCATTCCGACTTTGATTTTCATGTGTGCTGTGCATTTAGATTTATATATAGTTTATAGCTTCAGAAATGTTAAATTTAGTTCAAAATCTCTGATTGAATATGAAAACATTTTAATGCCGTCGATGAATTGATTTCACCCAAAATGTTAATGATATTAATTTACTGCCTTGCAAGCACTGGTATATCCTTCAAAAAAATTATCTAGTTCTGTAACACTATTCAAACAGCTGCCACTATACTTAATAGATATGCATGTATGAAACTTGTAATGTAACATTATGCTCAATCCACAAAATTACATATACCCTTTTCTAATATAAAGCCAAATGCACAATTTAAATTGTTTTCTGAAAGAACAGCATATTGGGAAATAGATCAATTTGATGAAAAACTCTCAAATTCTACTTCATGTTTTTTTTTTAAAGCTCAATATCTCATCTCTCTTGCACCTTGATTTCATGGAAAGCCCATTCAGCAAAGTTAAATGAGCGCAAAATGACCAGCATATCTTAAGTCAAAAATCATTCATGCAGTCTGGCATTAGCCCATGCAAAACGATTGGAATGTATCCCGATAGTGAGAGAGCAGCTGAAATGTGTAACTGTGAGGTGCAGTGCACAGGTGTAACAGTGAAGCATCATGTCTGAGTGACGTGGCTCCCATGTTTACTGGTTAAAGTGTAAAACCGTACAATATTTATCGCTCCCAAATGACGGACCACATTGCAGATGGGTGTACTGAACAGCTGACTTTATAGGCGGTCCAACATGCACCCTTAAATGCTTTCGAAATGACAATCCTGCCCTAAAGCCTCCATTGAGGAGGTACACAGCTGCATGCACACACAGTCACTTATTCATTTCACAGATGAGATCCACAGCTACTGTCTACCTACAGTTGTAAATTCAGTAGTACTATCGAAAGTAAGGCATTCTTCTTTTGACATCTACCAGTATTAGGAGTTGGTTCAGATTGTGCAAATGTTTAAAGCAACAGAGAAAACAAAACATGGATGAATACTGTAAACATCTGAGGTGCGCTCCTGTGAAGAACTTGGATGCAGTCCTATTCAACATTTGTTAATCCTATGTGGTGTCAGATTCCTTCTGTCTCTTTGGCAGTAGTGGTTTCTTTAGGCCAATGAAAGCATTTACAATGCACTGTTGTGCAAACAAGTCTGTTTTTTTTTTTTTTTTATCCTGGTTGCTGGTAATACCGTTTTAACTTATACTCAGCTGAGCAAATCCCATGAGTTTAACGTCATCTGGAATTTCAGAGCTGTCGACTCCCGATGCCTAAACGGGAGAAAGATAAACACAGTGGCAAATATAAAACAACTCCGACGAGTAAAGCAATCAGAACTGACCACCGCACCACATAATAGAGTAGCTTACCAGCTTGAAAGTGACATTTTTGTTGGTTTGTGGATCATCAACGATTTTCTGCAAATTGGCTGCAACTAAAAAAAAAAATACATAAGTTAAAAACACTTCTTATTTTTAACATTTGTATCTTTAGTGTCAAGCAGCAATTTAAACAAACTCACCAATAACTAAATCTCTTCCGTCAACTAGTCCTGCAGACACAAGCTCTTGAGACACTCCATCAGCTGTGTCTGGATAGAGAGGAATTAAATGTGACACATTTCACTAGCTTTTTGATCAAGATTACAATTTGTCAATATATGTGAGATTACAGATTAGGAGGAAGCAGACGGACACTTCATTAAAGCGATCAGTAAACGTCACAAACCTCTCCCCGGCATGAACTCAAATCTGATATCGTTTAGCTCTTTCTTTGTGTTCCTGTTGCAAAACAAAATGCAAAAACTCAGCTTAACTAGTTAAAGGCATTTTGTATTTTATTTACTATTAAAGTATTAATATTTTGAATTCAGGGTTCCAACACATTGTCCATTTAAAAAAAATTCCAAACCTTTCAAATATTTCAGACCATATTTAATAGGGGTGGAACGGTACACAGAAGTCACGGTTCGGTTCATACCTCGGTTCAGACATCACGGTTCGGTACGATTTCGGTACAATGGAGGGAAAAGCAAAACAAAAATGCAGAAGGCATTGTATTTTTAAAATAAGTTTTATTAATAAAGGCATAGAACCAGTTTATTTGTAGTGCACTGACAATAGTTTTATATAATTCGTTTATTAATTAAATTAATAAAAAGACAAAAAGACCTTGCGATATGTTTGGTAATTGTACCTGAATTAATTTAAAATTAATTTGCTATATTTCAGATAAATATATTTGTTTTCCTTAATTTTAATTAACATTATTAATTAACAATGTAACATTATTCTCATCTGAATTATAAATAATTGATTTCTGTATAAAATAATACTACCATTAATAACGCATTCGATTTTCTTTTTTAATCAATGTAGAATGTGTAAGATTAGTGCTCCGAGGACAAGAAATGAAAACCAATGCGATGAATGTCCAAAAGATGGGACCCACAGACTGTTTTGAAATGTAGTTGGATAAATATGTTTTGCTTTTAAAACAGTGTGTGTGTGTGTGTGTGTGTGTGAGTGTGAGTGTGTGTGTGTGTGTGTGTGTGAGTGAGAGAGAGAGAGAGAGAGAGAGAGAGAGAGAGAGAGAGAGAGAGAGAGAGAGAGAGAGAGAGAGAGAGAGAGAGAGAGAGAGAGAGAGAGAGAGAGAGAGAGAGAGAGATTTTGGTTGGGTGACAGTTGTAGGTTACAGTTTGACAAGAGTTTACAGTGTGACAAAAGCACAATGTTGTGTTTTATTGCGAGTGTACACAAATATAAGTAAACACTTTGCTGGTTTAATGATCTGTATGAACAAAATGACGGAGTATGTTTTTTATGTCCACTGTTCAATCGCGGCCGCGCCTCTCTCTCTCTCACACACACACACTCCAGCATTGCAATCTTGACATCGCAGCCTGTTCATTATGCGGTCACACCAAACCCGAATAGAGCGTTAAATTCGCGTCTATCGCGTCTAGTTCGACGCTAGTTCAAAGCGAATATGACGCGCGTATAAAGCCAACGTTTGAAGTGAACGCGCGTTCAGAGCTAAGCCGATGGTACAGATTATGTGTCCCTAAAGAACCCGCGTATCTAACAGTAGTTCCGCATTACATTAATTAATTTTTACGCGAGTTTTATTTATTTTTATACCGTGTATTCTCCGTGTAAATTCGTGCACCGAACCGTGACGCCCGTACCGTTTCGGTTCGGTACGAATACATGTACCGTTCCACCCCTAATATTTAACATAAATGGCTTTTACAGCATTATTTTCAGGATTATATTTGGTATATAATAGTCATCTCTAAATATATTTTTCTGTTGGTTTTCTCAAAGTGATAAAATGCGCTTATATGATAAGAAACCTTAAACACTTTGAAACCTCACCTCTGACACATCGGTTTGATACTGTAAATGTAATGTTGCATGATCACCAAACAGTAAAGTACAGTCTGATTAAGTGACCATTTGCTCCTTCATCAGTTGCTGGTTTGAGTAGCACAAGCACATTCGTTCAAATGAGACTCGCTTATTGTAAAGACAAATAGTTTCGCATGACGAAATGATGAAAACACTGCTTGTATGATACATTTATTTTTAGAAATTCTTAATTTTATATTTTTAGAAAACTGAATAGGGGCATTAGTCTGGAAACACAAATATTTTTCCATACATCCAGACCTGGAAATGACTATTTTTATATTATCCGTTTTCATTTTATCTTAAGTTTTAGTAATTTTTAATGTGATTTTTTTGGTAATTTTAGTACTAATTCAACTTTATTTTAGTTAGTTGCCAAAGCAACATTTCTATGATTTGTTTAAGTTCTTAAAGCTATAATTATTCACATAATATTTATTTTTTATTTTATTTTAGTTTTATTTCAATTAACGAAAAATATTTGTAATAGTTTTACTTAACACTGCAAGGCACTTGCCATAAACTCATCACCGACGCTCTAAAAACCTTTCTATTTCTGAGTGATGAACTGAAATATTTTTATTGCCATTTAAAAAAAAAGCAATTATAGCAGTTTCATCCAAACATCTTACTATAAAGTTACTGGGATAACTGCTTGTATTTTTATATGATGTAAAAAGAATGAGTGTGCCAACACAACCCTGTGAAACAACTTTACTAACTGTCCTCAAACGGTATGGTTACGTCTAACCTGCTGATCCATTGATAGTCATCATCAGTCACTATAATGTTAAAATACCTTAATCTTAGGACCAGGCTGATGGGGATTTTGGCTGAGTCCTGCCCTGTCATAGTAGGTGCGCCAACAGCCTGTAGGGATACAATTTCAGTATCTAAAAAAATTTGAACTAAATTATAAACCAAGAGCACTTGTAAGGTCAAGCTTACTGCTGATACTATTGTCACAGAAGGAACTTAATACAGTAGAGCTCACCTGGGAGCCTGCAGAGGACACTGATATTGTGGCAGTGCCATCTGCAACACGTAGGACTTCAGACTGTCCTGCAGCGACTGGCTGCAGGAAGCTTAATGGATCCGCTGGAAAGATCTTTGAAAGAAGCAGAAACAAGATTTTCATGAGAATGGTTGTGGAGTAATTCAGAAAGTAAGAAGCAGAAGCAAACTCTCACCTCTGCATTTTGCACAGCCTCCTCCTTTACTCTGGGTGACTAAGAAAAGACAATTCAAAGACTTAAAACATGCTTTATCCAAATCCACAGACTAGATTAAAACAGCCATTAGGTAATGGTGTAGCAGACAAGCATCTACCCGTAAAGCGGCCACTGCTGCCTTCCCTTCCTCACTCTCCATATCCAGCTCATCATCACTCCATTCCCACTCTCCATCCTCAGTCTTATGGAGCCGACCACTGGAACCCGGAACCCTCCGCACCTATTCACACATATATTTACATGCACAAAACTGCGTAAAGCACAACTTCTATTCTCAAGTCATTATTTATACATCATATTCGGTCAGTAAATTTGTCACCCACCTTCCTTGATCTCTCTCCTATTGTTGGCGCCCTCTCCAGCAATTTTTCATTCAAGTATTCGTTGTTCTGTGAAGGAATTGTAGGAAAAATTAGTTATAAATATAACCATTCACATTATTATTATAAATAATTGTAGATGCTTAATAAATTGGTAAAAAACTGAACTCAAGGTCCACTATTGTAAAAAAAGACATTTGAGACTATCCGCAGAGACAGCATCCTCTGTGGGTCGTAATGCAGCACTGCAGTGCCGTACAGGCCGCCCTGTTTACTGCCACTGAGCCGCTAGGAAAGAAAGTCTGCTGAGGCAGCACTGTATTTGTTACAATATGGCATGTATCCCATGAGCAGGAAATGGCCTTTAGAAACTCTAATCCTGAGTATTTGTTACAGTAAACCAGCCATGCTGGACAAGTGATTTGAGAACGTTCAGGCGACAATGACTGTAGCCAATCTAAATAATAACTGACCCGCTGGAAGCAGCAATTACGTAAAATGGAATACACATTTGTGAACTTAGATTACCAGACTATGGGAATGTAAAATTTAACTACTCTAGTCATTCTCTGAAAATTTGCAACTTTGGGTTACAGTATCTTACCTTGGCTTTTGTGAAGAACTTGTGTTTTAAAAGTTCAGCAGCTGTAGGCCTGTTGAAGAAAGCTGAATTTTAATAATAAGAAAAAACTAAAGTTTTTCTGACCATAATGCCATAATCGAACACAGAATTTTTTAACTTTGGGAAATAAATGCACAACCGTTTTTCTGGATCCTTCTGGAGGCACAAGGAGATCATCTTCCGAAAGGATTTACCATATTTTTTAACCATTTCTTTATCTGTAACTCCAGTCTCTAGACACGGAGGGTCATTCTGCAGAGTTAACATGAGAACCTAAACCAAAAAAAGTGTGGAAAAAATCAAGACAAATCATTACTGTGGAAAAAGTATAGACAAAAACATTAAGCAACCATAGGCTGAATGACTTGAATGATTGTTGCTATAGAGTAGTGCAGAGATGATGTTTTACTGTAAGTTAGCATTACCCTGGTTCCCTGACAAAATTTGTATCTTACAAGTTGTTCATCTAATCTTCACAAATTAATTTTGAAGCCTAAATACAATTGTCAGAACTAAGAAGCTAAAGCTAAAGTAAACTACAACATGACTAGCATGACTTTAAAGTCATCACCACTAAGCTTACAACTCTTAAGCTTACAGGTTAACAAAAGACTATAAAAGTAGAATAGTGAGTTTTCTAGCTCAGCGTGAGAACGCTTAACGTCCTTCTATGGTCCCATTTAGCCACTTGTTAGCAACCACCCTTTTCAAGACATAAAAGCTTAAAAAAAACAATGAGAGGATATTACTGATGTATTTTGTCATAAAATAAAACATGAAAATACTTTGAGCTTGTGTTTAACACCAACCTTATTTCAGGCATTTAAGCAAAAACTCGTTCAAAAAAACCCCACTGACTTCAGGTTGATGAAACTGGAAGTCTAAAATGCCGACTCATTTCTGCAGCACTCTATTGGCAGGTTTCATAGCAGCAGATTCTCCATCAACTGAACGCAAACAGTGAATTGCTGCTCACCTTCATTGGAGGATATTTGTGATATGGAGCAGCCCCAGTTGCCAACTCAATAGCTGTGATCCCAAAACTCCAGATATCAGCTTTGAAATCATAACCCCTAACCTGCGAGGGGGTAAACTCATTTTAATTCTCTCATTACAAAGCTATTCAGTTTCCAAAATGTATGAAAGGCAAAGTAGGAACAGCCGGGACAACACTAACCTGCTCCATCACCTCAGGGGCCATCCAGCATGGAGTTCCTACAAATGTCTTCCTCACTTTGTTTCTAGTCATGTCTCCACCAGTTGCTAAAAAGGCACTGACACCAAAGTCTTCACAGACAACAAAAAGACAACAAAACTATCAATCATCTGATCCAAGATCACTGCATTATGTTATTTCAGGCCAAGCACCACCTCTGATCAAATCTGAACATTTCTAGTCCAGGAAAAGAGCATCTAGAGGCCATTTACAGACTTTGACAGGCCAATCGAATAATATCTCGCCTTTTTTCTGTTTGCTTAATGAAAAAAGAAAACACTTTTTCCCTCCAAGTATAACATTCCGCTGCGCATAGAGTAAATAAACACTATGAAGGCAATCTAACAGCATATGCAAACAAGAATATTCAGCAATCCTTTGAAATCACAAAAAATATATATATATTATACTTAACTTGTACTATTATGCTACGTAACTGTCAATAATCATTGAAAGAAAAAAAGATTGTATTGAGAGTGAAACTCCACCTGCAATTTGAACAGAGCCGTCCTCTCCTAAAAGAATATTTCCAGCCTTCACATCTCTGTACCGAGAGAAATACAGATCAGTGTGCTGCTTGATGACTCAACAAAATTAAGAATGGAAACCACACATAAACGTAATTATATAACCAAACCATGGCATATACATTTACCTGTGAATCTGACCATTTTTGTGCAGATAATCGAGACCTTCTAGCACCTCTTTTAGTATGGTGGCAATGCTGGACTCATCCATGACACCCGATTTGTGCTCCCCTTTAGAAATGATGTACTTAATAAAATCCAGAACTGAGCCTGAAAACAGACGCAAGTGGAAGGATACTGTATTATGCAGTACTTTATTTTTTTAAAAGACCAATTAATAACTTTCTTTTTGTCTTTATTTATTCAAGACATGCATTTAAACAATTAACTAACTCACCACCACTGAGCAACTTCATGACCAGCCAAAGCTCATCCTTGACCACAAAGGAGGTGTAATAAGACACAATATTTGGGTGATGGCACTGGCTCATTGCCTGGATCTCTTTCTAAAAAAATAAAGGAGAAAAAAAAATGTTAGGAAGCAGAACTGTTTAAATCTATATATAATGGTAAGTATCTGCAAACAAAAGGTCCCATTGCTCCTGACTGCTCAACTACAACCTCAAATTACTTCAAGGCCATTGATGACTTTTATGCAACAGAACTTAAAGAAAAAAAAGAACCCAGACATTCGGTAAATAGTCCCGTCTCATAGGACATTCTAACTCTGATAATTTAATCACAAACCAGAAAAGTCTTTCCTTGTGTCTGTGCCAGTTTAATCCTCCCCTGATAGACAGACATGTGGTTGCCTTGCACATGACCCTGAATCATTAACCGAGTTGAACAGAACAGACCCTGAAGCAGATGTACATTGCATAATTTTTCTAAAACTGACAGTCATTTGTGCTTGGAGAAAACAAAATTGATTTAGTATTAGTATTTTTGTGGAGTTTGTCTCAACCTATCCCATCTATTTTTGTTAAAAGATTATTTACATAATGCAAAGATTCTGTGTAAACTCAGGAATAAAAATATATATAATATAGGATATACATTTTATATAAATATATATTAGGGCTGTCACGATTCCTTGATTAAATTCGAGTACTCAATTTAAAAAATCCTCAACTGCAATTTACCCGTGTCGAGTAGGCCAAACCAGCAAAATACTGGAAGTGGAAGAAAACAATAGGATAGTGCTATTGTGAATTCACAAAAGCATATAGTATATGCCCCGCGGGTTTAATATGCGCTTTATTTACATGTGTGTATGTTGCGTGCGTCTCAGGAAGGCTCTGTTCACAGTAAATGCTGCTCCACATGAACTGATAACATTTACATACGTGAAGTGTCTCAAACTCCATCTCTGCATATGCTTCGAGTTTGAATAGCTTATAACATTCATCTGGGAACGTAATGTGTGGCATTTCATCAGATTTGTAAGGCAAAAAATGTATAAACCTACGCCAAAACAACAGAATACATCAATATGTTTCTAAATATGCAAACTGTTCATCGCGATTTCAAAATAAAAGTTAAACCCTCGCTCTGAGTTTGCATGTTTTGACGTCCACATATTCTTTTTCGAGAAATTACAGTGGGCTGTAGCATTTCTATCATAAAGTCGCCAAATATATATATATACTAGGGGTGGTGAAAAAAATCGATTATTGATTAATCGCGATTATGTTATGGACGAGTATGAATCGATTATTACATTTTCAAAAATCGATTTTTTATTATATATATATAAAAAAAAAATTTGCATTATTTTATTTTGTAAAAAATGTTATACCGGAAGTTGAACGTCATGAACGCGCCCAGTTCCGCAAGCGCGTGTAACGGCAGCCAGAGCGAGTGAGAGCAGGTGTGCCGGAGACACACTGGCTGCGTGGCGGCGTCTCAGCTGCGTGGTGTGTCCGTTTTTATTTCGGCTCCCATGTTAACAGGTTAGAGCTTGCACACTGCCTGCATGAGCCGCGCGGAAAACGCGTGCATGCTAGAAATAGAACCGACGCCTATTTTTCACGCGACACGCAAGCGTGTTGGAAGCGTTTCCAGGCAAAATAGAATAGGAAACGATGTTTATATGTCATTTTGTACACGAATACATATTAATAAATTACATTTTGATGTTTGAAAGTCTAGGTTTTGATATAAATTCAGATATCAATGTAATTTAAACAAATAATAATAATAATAATCGATTTTCAAATATTGCCATTATTTTTGCCTATATACAAATTTATGTCATTTTTATTTTTTAAACAATCGAGTCCTGGTGTTCACTACAGAGGTCATAGCATAACATATGAATAAAATATCTCTTTTTTTTTTCATTTGTTTCTTATGCTCTTAACAATGTGATTACATGAAAAAGAGAAAAAAAACTTTTGAAAAAAACGTTCTGAGCCTCAAGAGGATATAATGATAATAAGCTACAATAACAACATAGTGTGTCTTCTGAGTGACGGTCCACCATCAGGCTAAATATAGGCTCTTTAAAGCTACACAAAATTTGTAAATGTTATTGAAATAAACAGACAGCCCACTTCCCTATTTTTCGGATTTTGGAAGATGTGTGATAACAGTTGAAATTGTTGTCGTAAAGTTAAGAGTTGAAATTGTTGTAGTAAGGATTAACACACCGCTAACCCAAATGTAGACTGTCCCTCTATGTCACCTAGCAGCAGACACGTTTCTGGTGTGCAAAGACACAGAAAACACGACGCAGCTGACACGCAACAGAAACGCCACGCTCACGCCACGCAGCCAGTGTGTCTCCGGCCTAACGAGCGTTGCTTGCTACAACACCTTGTCTTTCTAGAAGAAAATTGTCCAATTTCTACAGTATGTTGGTTCTGATCTACTTCCTAAAGGAAATAAGCCTTTCATTTATTTGTTATTGTTTAGTTCAACTTGATGAGTCACAACACAATGTGATGTATTCATTTCTGTGTTCTATAGAACATAAGCTACATACAAATAATTCTGAAGTTATAACTACATGACACAGAAAGTGCTTTGAGTTGTTGTTACTCAATAAAAGAGTTAAGTAATTCAGCAGCTGACTTTTTTTAATACTGCAAACACTTTGTAGTGTATTTTCGTTTACTGTTGTGAAATGGAAAATCAATAATCGCTAATCGCTAATCGAGAATCGTTAATAATCGAAAATCGACTGTAATCGAATCGGGACTTCAATAATCGTAATCGAATCGAATCGGGAAATCAGACCGATTAACCACCCCTAATATATACATAGCATACATACAGGTACAGTATATTTTTATCTGATAACTTGAAAACCTAACATGCTGTAATAGTGGGAAAGATTGATTTTAGTCCAATCCACATTATGCTTCTAAAGTGAGCGAGACAACTAAACTACCATCCACAAATAACCAGTTTAAACTGAGACTTCATCCTAATCAAACACTGTTTGTCTTATTTTATGAGCAGTAAGCAGACATTACCAGGAGCTCATCCATGCTGGTCTGGCATTTCTCAAGATTGATGCGTTTAATGGCCACCTTCTCCTTCCTGGGTTTGCAATATGCCGCCTGGACCACAGCTGTTGCTCCACTCCCTATATAACAGTAAAAAAATAGCAAATTTAGTGATATAACCAAAACACTTAATGCGTATAAAATAAGATACTAACGAAATGTTAGAGAAGATGACAGATAGTCACAGTATCCTCACTGCATAAATGAAATTAGCTATTGAAACCTTTTTTTAACCAATATAATGGGGTGTTTATTAAATTGTGCCCCGATGCCAATGCAAACAGATGATGTAAAAAATGAACTGGTGTTTTAAATGTCTTAATTTCAGAATATTCTAAACTTCTATTTAAACAATTCATTTTCATATGTCTCTATCCTTCTGCTTAATGACAACTTCCTCTGCCAAAGGAAAACCGAAAAAAACCAAATTAAACGTCCCAGGACAAGAAAATCAGCTCTGGTTATGTGATCAGAAGTTAACTAGTTAGTTAAAGTGTTCCCATAATACGTCAAACTTTCATCTAGAAAACATGAACGTTATATGTATCAGTTTGACACCAAACTAGCCAGCAAGCAAGTTGTCAATTGTAATGTTTCTTTAACCACCCCATATGTCATATCCTCAAATCAATCAGTAAATCAGCCATTGTCTGCAAGCATTACAATCCGCTGGCATGTCGGGTGGCTAGCTAGCATGGCTAACACAGACTGAACATCTTCCAGGCGCGATGACTCAATTACTGATGGAGATCTGGAATAACACAGACCATCTGGGCCCAAGAGATCTTAACACATATGTCTTACTCTCCTTTATTCTACCATTTATGTGATCTAGATGCTGATGTGTGATGGGTTAGCTCACCGATCACCTCCTGTAGCTCATAGTCATCCTTGTCGATAGACCAAGGTTGAGAGCTCGGGTCCTCGGACATGACTGCAGTCAGATCACGTCAGCCGCACGCGACACTGTACGCTCCCGCGGCTGCAAGCGATGGAAAACGGACGATTCGGGATTTATACTCGATCTACTTATGTTGATCTTGCCGACCGCTCTCAGTCTCAGCAGCCAAACTTTGCCAACAGAGACGGTGACCCCGCCTTAGGCGGAAAACGCTCTTCCTCGTGTCAAAATCTTGGAGGCGACCAAAATTATGCCACGTTACGCCACCTAACGGTCATGACGCAGAGTCACCGGGGAGAACAGCAGAAACAGTCTGTCCATACTAGAAAATTATTTGTTCTACTGTTGAATCTTTCATGAAATTTATTAAAGCTTTCTTGTATGTAACTATTTTTACTTTACTGCACTGTAAAAATGTTTTTAATTTTAATAGGACAATAATGATACAGAAAAAAACTTAGTTGTAATGTGGCTTACCTTTAGTAGCTAACTTTAAATATTTTAAAAGATAATATATACCGGTAGTATACTTTATTGTTAGTTTTTCTTACTATACTTTAATAATAGAAGTAAAAGCAACAAATAGCCTTATAATTACATATTAAAATAGGTTTACATTATATTTAACAATTAAGGCAATATGCAAAAGTTTTTCGGAAAAATATTGTTAAAATATATTTTTTTTAATTATATTAATCATTTTATTTTTTAATTATTCACATTAAGTAAAAAATTTCTATAACATTTCTATTGATGAATGAAAAATTTAATAAATTATCAACTTCCTAGGGGAACTATCTGAGATTTTAAATGCTCCACTGAAGAGTACATTATTTAATGCATTTATATATTTTTTGCTTTATATTTTGTTACATATATAATACAGTAATATATAATGCATGTAAACCCATTTATTTTTCTCCTCTAATAATATTTGGTGACGGTTTGGCCAGCAGGGGTCTTGTAATTGTGCATAGCTGCTGGAGAAACCACCCATGTGTCACAGTCAATATGTAATATATGAAATATTTAATAACTCAAATGGGTTGAATAGTTATAACAGAGACAGTGACAACGTTACTGCGATTGGTTAATCAGTGTTCAGTGTTCCCAACATTCAGACTCCAAAAGACAACTTTAGAAGGAAATCATAAATATTAATTGATTGTTGTGTAAATACAGTTGTATTTATAGTTTATCATTTTTGATTTACATACCTGACTATGATGTGCATTGTGAAATTTACAATACGTTTGACTATGAATGTTAAAGCTAACTTAAAGGGATAGTTCACCCAAAAATGAAAATTAGCCCATGATTTACTCACCATCAAGTCATCCAGGTGTATCATTCTTCTTTCAGACGAATACAATCGGAGCTATATTAAAAAATGTTCTGGCTCTTCCAAGCTTTATAATGGCAGTGAATGACTGTTTCTGTTTTGAAGCATTTAAACATGCATCTATCCATCATAAAAGTGCATCTCTCAAGTGCTCCACACGGCTCCAGGGGTTAATAAATGCCTTCCGAAGCGAAGCGATGTGTTTGTGTAAGAAAAATATCCATATTTAAAGGTCCCCTGACATGAAATTTTCACTTTCTGAGGTTTTTTAACATTAATATGAGTTCCGCTAGCCTGTATATGTTCCCCCAGTGGCTAGAAATTTCAAACGGTGTAAACCGAGCTTTGGCTATCTTTCTCTGCCTTTGAGAAAATGAAAGCTCAGACGCGCTGATCTTGAATCTCCTCCGTATGACATCATACGGAGGAAAGGTAACCTCCCCTTTCTCTGCTTTGCCCGCCCAGAGAATTTGGCTCGCCCACGCCCATGAGAAAATGAGCTAGGAAGTACGAACGCGCAAGCGCGATTTGAGTTTTTCCTCGAGAGATATCATGGCTTGCAAACGAGCAAAGCATGGCAGTTGATCAGTGTTCGGATGTACAAATGAACACAGAAGTATTTTTTAGTTCCTTCATCCGAGCCTCTGAAGACACAATGGGTTCATTTTATTTTCTCTGGAGATGCGCCGACACAACCCAAAAAGTTGTGTATGGTCCAAACATTTCACCGACGACTGTTTCCTCAAGTTGGGCCAATACAGAGCTGGCCTCGATGAACGTCTGAAAATAAATCATCGAGCTACCAAGCAACAATTTCTGATGTGTAGCCTAATTGTTCAAGTTCAGACAGGTAATCTTTCTCTCAAAATCGTTCAATACTGTTTATGCATCAGTAAGTCAAGCCAGTGACTAAAATATCAACTTCACATCGTTTCTTTTAGTAGGATGAAAATAATCTTATTTAAATTGTGAACAAATTATATACAGAAAGCGATCAAAGAACAATGTTTCGTGGCCGGTTACACTGAATCCCACAGAAGACACGCCCCTTCAAACAGAGCGTTCAAATCAGAGGCTAAAATCAGGTTAGGTTTATTTCTAAATTATGACTATTTTTGATCTAAAAATCATACTTACATTATAAGGGCAACCCAGGAAACATTATAAAATAATAAAATAACCCCATGTCAGGGGACCTTTAACACGTAACAAACTGTAATCTTTAACTTCCGCTAACTGTCGTACACGAGAGACTGGCGTTCCAGCACATAGACATAATAAATACATGTTCCAGCATATGACGTATGACGCAGGCGTAGAATAATGCCGCGTTCCAGGCAACCTGTAACCCGTGTTTTTCCAACTCGTAACTGGGAGTACATCGTTCCAGGCAACCTGTAACCCGTGTTTTTCCAACCTTATACCCGTGAAAGTGCACTGGAACGGCAGTCAAACCCGTGACTTCCCACCCGTGAATTCGTACTAGATCGATGTACTCCCAGTTACGAGTTGAAAAAACACGGGTTACAGGTTGCTTGGAACGCGGCATAAGTTCCGGTGACGAACGTGGAAGCACAGAGGATAGAGCAAAACAAAACACCGGTCGAAACCGAACTTGGTTCTCGCGAGAACTAGCCTATACTCACCGGAGTGTCCAACGTCATACGCTGGAACGCCAGTCTCTCGTGAACGCGCGTACGACAGTTAGCGGAAGTTAGAGATAACAGTTTGTAACGTGTTAAATATGGATCTTTTTCTTACACAAACACATGGCATCGCTTCAGAAGGCCTTTATTAACCCCCCGGAGCAGTGTGGAGCACTTTTATGATGGAGAGATGCACTTTTATGGACTTCAAAACATTCGGCCATTCACTGCCATTATAAAGCTTGGAAGAGCCAGGACATTTTTTTATATAGCTCCGATTGTATTCGTCTGAAAGAAGAATGTCACATACAGATGACTTGAGTAAATCATGGGGTAATTTTCATTTTTGGGTGAACTATCCCTTTAAGCATTATTAATAATAACCCATGTATTCAAGAGACATAATGGCAAATTTTGGGGCTTTCCAGGTTCATTTAAACTGTTACACCCACATTTAAAAGAGTCAGTATAGGGGAAGACCTCTACTTTCTCAAGCAAGAGACTATACTGGAAATCAACATGTTTAAGTAGTGTCTAAATTCAAGAAATTCAATATGCAAGAAGTAGACAGTGGAAATCCCAGCTCCAGGAACAGGTCCAACAAAAAGAGACCAACAATGCCTGAAGACTTTCAAATGCTGCAGACAGGATAGTTATGCCGCGTTCCAGGCAACCTGTAACCCGTGTTTTTCCAACCTTATACCTGTGAAAGTGCACTGGAACGGCAGTCAAACCCGTGACTTCCCACCCGTGAACTCGTACTAGATCGATGTACTCCCAGTTACGAGTTCTGACGTCACATAGCCCGCAAAACCATACAAAACAACAATGGCAGCCCCTACGGATGCAGTGTTTCTGCAGGCGGTACACAGTGAGAATACACTTTAGGACAATATAACGTTGCAGTCAAATTAATAATAATATAATAATAATGATAATAATAAACACACGATTATGTATGACAATGTTATGTGTCTGAAACAATAAGTATGTATATACACACACGATTATGTAATACAATGTTATGTGTCTGAAAAAATAAGTATGTATATTGCGCTCAGGTAGTTTGGCGTGACTGGCCTGGAACGCTACAAAGTCGTGAGTCGTGGTTTGAAGTCGTGATTTACGTGCTCAAAAACCTGCCTGGAACGCAGCATAAGACTTTGCAAGAAGAAGAAATGCAAAGTTGGATGCACCTGCCTAATAATCAAATGTCCACAAGTGACCGTGTACATTTTCAAGATTAAAATGTCTATAAAATTCTCTAGCTTATTTTATTTGTGGTACAGCAGCTTGTGCTTAAAGAAAGCAGAACAACAGATAATTTATGTGACTTTATGTGAAAACTTACACTATACAAAATAAAACGCATAAGGGTATTCAACAGCATCCCCATGCTTCTGTCAGCTGCAAAGTGCCTAATGGTGCAAACTTCCTTTAAATGTTTGCAGAGTCTGACCCTTTGGCTGTGCTAAATGGAAATGTAAAACAGGAAGTATAAGTTTGACTTTCAATATTATAACTTACAGCTAAACTTATCAGCTCATTAAAGGGATGGTTCATCCAAAAATGAAAACTGTGTCATCATTTACTCACTCTCAAGTTGTTCCAAACCCGTATGAATTTCTTCTGCTGAACACAAAAGAAGATATTTTGAAGAATATGGGTAAACAAACAGTTGATGGTAAGGGGGAAAAAAACACTATGGAATGGGGCCCATTAACTGTTTGGTTATTGACATTCTCAAAATTAACTTCTTTTGTGTTCAGCAGAAGAAAGAAATTCATACAGGTTTGAAACAACTTGAGGGTGAGTAAATTATGACACAATTTTAATTTTTGGGTGAACTATCTCTTTAAGAATTCAAATATATTACATGTCCAGCAACACTGAAATGGAAACAAAACACAATCTTTTTGTTTTGCTTATGTTATCAGTGTAAGTATTTAAAGAAGTGGTTATGAATGTCTGTGTGCTCAGTCTGTGCTGCTTTCCAGCCCATCACATACATAATACTACTTTACAGATAGACTATAGGGACGTCCCGCCATTTGGAGCAGCCATCTTGGAGCAGCCATCTTGAAAATGCTAAACTGCCGGTGATAATCCAGCTCGTCGCGAAATATTCCTATCATGCCTGAGCAATGCTGTGCAGTTGGATGCGATCAGATACGTGATCATACAAAAGGAATATCTTTATACTGAAAGCTGATCTTGTATTTTATTTGACACTTCTTATAAATCGTCAGAAACACAGG